TCTTTGTCTCCCGTTTTGTCTGCCTGTTTGGGTTTGTTTCTATGTATTAGATAGACCTGCTAGGACTCTCAAGTCTCTTTGGAGGGTCTCTGGCACAGGCCAATGTCAGACGCAGTTTGTGACTGGCTTTGGGTACCCTGTTTGGAGCTATTAACAACTCTCACCTTGAGGACTCCTATGCTTGGCCTGGATGCATTTGGACAGGACCAAGATGCACACCAAAGTCTACTTTTCCAAGGCCTAGGTCCAGAAGCAGATCAGGTAAAGACTCAAAGCACTCTGAGCTCTGCCCCTGCCTGCAGGCTGATTAATCTGATTCTCTTAATGAGCCTCAGGCTGTAGAAACTCCACTGGGTAGGGGGGAGAGGTTTTCCATCAGGGTGGGGCAACTGCTTCCCCCACCAGGCAAAAGCAGCAAACTGTCTACCTGAGAAAGATGTCCTCTGCAGTATGGGGGGATGACTCAGCACAGGAATCCAGACAGGTGCCTTCTGATTTCAATCTCCAGATCCCCAAACTCTAGGTTCTCCTCACACAGCTCCAGTCCACTCTGCCCTCCCTCTGCTGGAGCCCAAGGTGAGAAGCTGCATACAAAACTTTGTATGTTGGCTCTTTAAGACGGGGCCTGCAGTTCCAGAGGCCTCTCCCTGGCAGACAGAAACCCTGCTGCTTTTCACAGCAGGTGTTATGTGGGCACCTTTCTCAGTTCTGGTGCTCTGGGCTGGGGAGCCCAGCCTGCAGTTTAAGCCCCAGAGTCCTCAGTGGGAACCCCCACAGCTGAGACATCCCTCAGGACCTTCAGCTGCTGCCTGTGGGAGCCCGGCCAGCCCTCCCGACTCTGCACTTCCTACCAGTCTCTATATGGTCTCCACTTTTCCTCCTTGGGTATTAGGGTGCTCTCTAGCTAGTCTTCAGTTGCAGTTGATTACTCAGGATGGTGTTTGTATATTTTAGTTGTAATTCCAGTTTGGTCCCAGGAGAGTGTTGGTGTAGCTTCCCACTCAGTCTACTGCCATCTTTAATCTCTCATATCCTTAGTTATTAAAGGACATTTGAACTTTTCCCAGTTTGGAATTATTACAAGTAAATTGCTCTGCATACTCATATACAAGGTTTTTTGTGGACATACATTTTCATTTCTCTAGGATAAATTTTAAAAATTACATTCCAGGAGGGTGATTTCTGAGTTGGATAGTATATCTATGTTATAAGAAACTGTTGAACTATATTCCAGTGTGGCCTCCTAGACTTTTAGTCCAATAATTATCTATGCCACTTTCAAAGCATTTATAGAAAAAGTTGTAGAAAGGCAGGAGGCAGCATAATCTAGAAAAGACTGTAGAGGAAAACAGATAACACTGTATATAATTTCCTGATTTTAAGAGACCACTGACATTATAAGGTATACAATAAAGTTAATAACAATCTTTCAGGAAATAAACACTAAATTGAATTTCCTTAATTATTTTTTACTGTATGGGTATTTACTTATATCCTATTTTCTTCTCTAATATCACTTATTTTATTGAGGTATCATTCACATTCAGTGAAATACATGGACTGAATGTTTATAGTTTGATGAATTTTGACAACTGCACACACCCAAGTGAGCCAAGATACAGAACATTTTCGTCACCCATCGTGCCCCTTTCACTTTTAACCCCCCGCCCCACCCCATTCACGATGTAACCATTGTTTTGCTTTCTTTCACCAGATTAGTTTGTATTCTTCTGTGCCTGGCTTCTTTTGCTTACATTGTTTTCGAGCTCTTCCATACTGTTGCATGTATCAGTAGACTATTCTTATTTTATTGGCGAGTGGTATTCTACAGGTTGGATTCTCCACAATTTGTTTGTTGTTCCCAGTTTTTAATTACTATGAATACTGTGTACAAGACTTTTTGTGAATATTCTTTTTTTCATTCTTCCTCTTGGTAAATATGTAAGAATGAAACTGCTGGATTATAGGGTAGCTTTATGCTTAACTTTGTAAGAAACTGCCAGACAGATATGCTAATTATTAGTATTATTTTAAACTCCCACCATCAATGTGTAAGAATTTCAATTCCTCCACATTCTTGCCAATATTTGGTATTGTTTTTCAACATTTTAATTTTTCTCCGTTCTAATGAGTATAGTGCAGTGTTAGCATAACAAGGTCTTACTTTAGAGATCTCTGGAGACTAATGAAGCCAAATACTTTATGTGCTTACCAGCTATTTGTATATCTTGGTTTGTGAAATGGCCCTTCAAATATATCGTCTATTTAAAAAATTGGGTTCTCTGTCTTCTTACTACTTAATTGGAAGAGCTGTTTATATACTCTGGATACCAGTCCTATGCATATATATGTTTTGCAAATATTTTCTCCCAGTGTGTGGCTTACATATTCATTAACAGTATCTTTTAAAAGGCAATTTTTTTTATTTTGATAAAACTATTTTCCCAATTCTGGGTCTTGACTAAGATTTTCTCCTAAGTTTACTTCAATAAATTTTACATTTGTAGTTTTTATATTTAGAACTATGATGTATTTGAATTAAGTTTTCTGTATGGTATGAGCTACGGACTGTGATTAATTTTTTCTACATATACAGACAGGTCTTTCCAGCACCAACTGTTGAAAAGCTTTTTCTTTACCCATTGAATATTTCTGGTGGCTTAACTGAAAAGGAATTAATTAGGAAAGTATAGTTCTACTTTCAGACTTTATTGTGCTGCACTGATCTATTTTGTCTACTGCTATGCAAGTACACACAGCCCTGATTACTACAGCTTCACGGTAAGTCATGAAATCGGATAATCAAAGTCCCAAACATTGTTCTTTCTACAGATTGCTCTGGTTATTCTAGATTTTTGCAATCTCATAAAAATCTTAGGATCAGATTTACTATTTCTGCATAAAAATCTGCTGGAATATTCCTTGGGATTATGTTGAGTCCGAAGATCAATTTTGGAAGAAGTTACATCTTAACAATGTTAAGTCTTTTATTTCTTGAATGTTACATAGCCTATCCCCACCCCCCCCAGCTAAATTTACTTACTGGTTATAGTATCATTTTTGAAGATTCTGTAGAATTTTCTACATATATGAAAATGCCACATGCAAATAAAGACAATTTTACTTCTTTCTCTCTAATCTGCATGCCTTTAATTCTTTTCCTTGACTTAATACACCGACTTGTAGTACAATATTAGAGAGAAGCGTTTAGAATGAACACCTTATTCTATCCTTACTTTACAGAGAAAATGTTCAGTCTTTTACTATTAAATATGCTGTTAGCTGGGTTTTTTAGATGCCCTTTATCTGACTGAGGAAATTTTCTCTTAGTCTCAGTGTGTTGAACATTTCAATTAAAATTGGATATTAAATATCGATAATGTGATAACTGCACTGTAAATCAACCTTGTATTTCTATCCTTCATATATATTACTGGCTTTATTTCGTTAACAGTTTTGCACCTACTTGTAAGAGAATATTGGTAAGTAATTTTCTTTTCTTGTAATACCTTCCTTGTCTAGTTTAAGTATCTGGATTATGCTGCTCTAGTAAAATATGTTGGGAAGTGATTCTCCCTCTTCTATTTTCTGAAAATTTTTATAAAATTGGTATTATCTCTTCCTTAAATGTTTGCTAGAATTCACAAGCGAAGATATATGAACCTAGAATTTTCTGTTGGATAGTTTTTTAATTATGAATTAAATGTCTTTAAAAGATAAAGAACTATTTAGATTTTTACATATTTTTTGTCAGTTTTCTTAAATCATGTTCATTAAAGATGTATTTATTTCATCTACACTTGAATCTGCTGGCATTAAATTGTTAACAATATTCTGTAACGGTCCTTTGATATCCGTAGAATCTACAGGATGTCTTCCTCTTGAATTCCTAATATTATCGATGTATGTGTTTTCTCTCTCCCTCCCTCCGTCTACCTCCCTGTCCCACCCCCTTGATCTCCATAACTAGGATTTACCAATTTTATTAATCTTTTAAAAGAACCAACTTTTGGTCTCATTAATTTTTCTCTATTGTTCATTCATTTTCCATGGATTTTCTGTTCCTATCTTTATTACTTCAGTCTGCTTAGTTTGGGTTGAATTTGCTCGTTTCTCTAGCTTCTTTTGGTAGGAATAATTTATTTAAAATATTTTTCTTATTTAGTATAATAAGCATTTAAAACCTAAATCTCCCTTTAAATCCTCATTTAAGGTTATCACACAGATTATGTTGTGCTTTCATTACCATTCGGATCAAAATATTTTTGAATTTCCTTTTTAATTTCTTCTTTCATCCATGGGTTATTTAGAAGTATGTTATTTAATTTCAAAATGTTTGCAGATATTCCAGATATCTATATTGATTTTTAATTTAATTCCATGTGGTCAAAGAACCTCTATGATTTCAACCCTTTTAAATTTATAGACACAATTTATATCTCAGTATATCTTGGTGAACATTCCTTATTCACTTAAAAAGAAATGTGCATTCTGCAGTGTTGGGTATAGTGTTCTATAAACACTCATGAGGCTGAACAGGGTCAGAGTGCAAAGTCTTTACCATCACTGACTTTCTCCCTTGTTTTCTCAATTCTTCAGAGGGAAGTGCTGAGATCTCCAACTATAACTGTGGATTTGCCTCTCTCTCCTTTCAATTCTGACCACTTGCTTCACATGTTTGAAGCTCTGTTATTAGGCATACATACATTTAGAATTTTTATGTCTTCTTGATAAACTTGACTTTTTAATCAGTATGAAATATCCATCTCGATTGCTGGCAAGACTCCTTATTCTGCAGTCTGATTTGTCCAACATTAGTAAAGCCATTTCAGCTTTCTTATAATTAGTATACTAGAAGTTTTGATGCACATAATAAAGAAGAGTAGTTAAATCTCATTAACAAAACATAAATGGTGATTTAAACCCCTTGCTCATCAACTTAGGTGAAATAATCTCTGATTAAGAATATATGTGTACATTTAACTCTTTTATGCACTTACCTCATCAATAAAAGGTATTAGTACCACAGCTTCCCATTCCTGTTGTTTCCCATTTAGGTCAGTTTTAAAATCAGGTGGATAATATTCTATAATGGGTGAGTCCTCACTGGTCATCAAATGCTGTGGAAAGATAAAACAGTGTAATAGAAATATAAGAATATTAATAAAGCTTTTTGTTAATATACTTATAATATTTCCTCAAATGTTACAGTTTAAAATTTATAAGCAAAGCAAAACTAAATTTTTACATCTTAGATATGTTGCAACATACTTGCTATAATTTTGATTTTCACCTATGGCACTTCTAACTTCATTGCTACTCATTAGTTTCCCACTTCAGTGGTTATGTGGCAAAACTACCTGTACTCTGAACTTTAATTTCATCATTTCTATCTTTTCTTGTCTTTTCACTCTACAAGGTCACCTAAATTCTGTTTTCCTAATCAAGCTTCAGTTTATTTCACAGGCTTCTAACAGTCCTTCATTTTTAACCTTAAACAATTTATTTTCATGCCCTAATCAATTGATTTTATTAAGTAATATAAAAATTGTCATCTAAGATAATTTAAAAAGAAAAAATCCTTGCCCTGGCTAGTGTGGTTCAGTGGTAGAGCATCAGCCCACGCACCGAAGGGTTGCTGGTTCAATTCCCAGTCAAGGGCATGTACCTGGGTTGAAGCAAACAATCTATGTGCGATAGATCCATGTCTGTCTCTCTTTCTCTCTCTTTCCCTCCCTCCCTTCCACTCTCTCGGAGAATCAAAGGAAAAAATATCCTCCAGTGAGGATTAAAAAAAAGAAAGAAAAACATCCGAAAATCCAAAAATCTCTTCACCACTAATAGCAAAGATAAAAAATCCAATATGTTAGGCTGGCCAGTGTGGCTCAGTTGGTTGAGCGCTGCCAGTTTGATTCCCAGTCAGGGCACATGCCTGGGCTGCTGGCTCAATCCCCAGGAGACAGCCGATCAATGTTTCTATCTGTCTCTCCTTCCCCCTCTCTGAAATCAATAAAAACATTTTTTAAAAAGTCCAAAAAGACGCTTTTATTGTAAGATAACTTAAAAAGAAAAAAATTCTAAAATCCAAGAATTCGCCACTAATAGCAAAGATAAAAAGTCCAATAAGACATGTTTTTATTAGAGATTTTGTAACAGAGGTAGACAATGAAAGTATAAGGATGTCTTCCAAGAAAATTAAACAGCATATTTCTCAGAGTAATATTCAAAATATATAATAACCAGTAAGCCATGGGCACAGAACAATAAAAAAAGATGTGGTTGTAAAGCATGAATGGCTGTATTGCTTCAGAGTGAGAATCAATCCTTAATGTATCTAAAGGTAGGAAAAAAGCATCAAAGTAACTTAAGAAAGGGAGACAAGAGGAGCCAGCATGGAGGACAGGGTAAGTTTCAGAAATATGCAGAGGGGAGNGGTGGGTGGGTGGGTGGTTGCTTATGTGTGTGTGTCTACCCAAGTTCTTGGGACCAGACTATGGAATTAGAAGAAAAGACTGACATTCTAGAAAAACTAAATGAATTTTACCCTCAGAATCAGCTTGGTAGGCTAAGTACAATTTTGGTGACTCACCTACCCCTAAATATCTCCCCATTTTTATGTGAAATATGTTAACCAGGGAAAAGCCTTTCATTCCACAATGTGATAAATGCTTAAAACTCAAATATAAACTCAGGTAAAAAGAGGTAATACTTCTGTTGACAGAAATGACTTATCAGAAGAACCATACCTATTCCAATAGGTAGAAGGTAAAAGAGAACAGAAATTAATCTGCAAATGTTTGGACAAGGTAGATGGCTTCAGATTTTTCCTGTCTCAGTTTACTGTCACCAGTACAGAAACTAAAGATTTGCAGAGGTGCTGAAAATGAAAAAGCTATGCTCTGAATGGTTTGTAGAGTTTGTTGCATTCTTAAAACAAAGCTAACTTTAAATCAGAATTACTTTTCAAGGAACTTAAGAACTACTATATTTGAAAACAAAAATATATTTAGCCATTAAAGAAATTTGGTTCTATATTTCTAGGTTTGGAGGAAGAGCTCCCAAATATTAAAAAGAACTTAAAAACATTTAATTCTAAAACCCACCTGGTAGCATGTAGGAAGTAAATTTTTGCTAGCAGCTGGAAGTACAGCAAGAAGCTGCTCAAATGGCTTAAAAGGTTTTCCTAGTTCAAAATGGATTTTGAGTGTGCTGATGTTCCGGATATCAGACAGGAAAGGCGCATAATGGTAAGGGTAATACCTGCAAAACAAAACTGAGTTTTAAACAACTGGTAATGCTATGGAACAGGTCAATATTTAGTATATATGTTTCCATATTTTAATAACACATAATAATAATTCTAAAGAAAAAATTATCAGCCATACTTCTACCACTTGAATATAAGAAATCTGTAGCCTTGGAAAATTTAGGTCATATGATGGTGACAAATGTTATATTTACTTAATTTTTAAAGTACAGCTTCACATTTCCAAAATTGGAATGTACAATGTAACTGAAGGATATACATAGAACATAGTGGTTTGGTTCCCCAAATGTCGAGTGTGAATCTTCCAATCAATAGATCTTAGAATGAAGTAACGAGGTCGTCAGAAGACTCTCAATAGGCTCCTGTGGGCCTGGGTCTCTGCCACAAGGACAAAGAGAGCAGTGAATCTGGGCTCACATGGCTTACTAGTGGGCTCTAAGAACTTTTATATTTAAATTAGCATATATATTATTATGTTTGCGATAAGGATTAAACTATTTCTCAATCATACAACTACTTTTGTTTTTAATAACTTCCCATCTTTAACTACAGGTATAAATAGTTTTAGAAAGCTTCGCATGTACAATTTTTTTAAAAGTTCAATGTTCTTAATGTTTGACTAAGGACATCCCCCAAATAAATATTTTTATATTCCACAATTATGGCATATTTCAAAAGGACAGGAAGCAGAACGGCATGTAGAATAATAGAAAATGTATTGGCTTTGGAACTAGGTAGGCTTGAACTTGATTCTTTGTGGTGTGTATGGCCTTGGAAAGATTATTTAACCTCTTTGAGCCTCATCTCAAAAGGTAGAGAACAACACTTACTTTAAATGGTTGTGAGGATTATATGAGAACATGTTTTTGAGTGCTAGGCCTTACTGCCGGTAAGTAATAGGAATAACATACTCTCTTAAAAAACAGCAAATCAAAGACTTTCGTCATTAGAACACTCTTCAAAGAGGTCCTGAGAATCAGGTTAGTTACTGGAAAGGTTTTTCTAAATGTTAGTAAGCGAAATCATAATTAGCCACATTATCCTGCTTTGGTTTGTTTCACTACGTGGGGCTTTACAATACAGCCGAGCCCGGCTGGGCGTGGCTCAGCGGTTGAGCGTCCACCTGGGACCCAGGCAATCAGGGTTCGATTCCCGGTCAGGGCACATGCCCAGGTTGCGGGCTAGATCAATGACTCTCTCATCATTGATGTTTCTATCTCTCTCTCCCCCTTTCCTTTCCTCTCTCTGAAATCAATAAAGATATATTTTAAAAAAATAATAATAATACAGCCCACATTTTGTTTTGATGTCAGAGCATTAGCAGAGGGGCTCTAACAACAAAACGAGCCACCTCATTGCCGAAAAGCCTTTTCTTTTCCCTGCGCCACTTTTCAGTTTATAATTTTTCTATTTGGGTAGATGCTTTGGAAATGTAGATGGTACTTGCTGGAATAGGAAGCATGAGAGAAATGAAAAAAATTATTACTAATTCCAAGAAAAGCAAATAATTTCTTTCTCCTTTCTTCTTTACCCTTCCAAATCTAATATTCAAATAACCCATTCCTCACCAATTACTCCTGATAGAAACATTTTCTCAAACACACGAAATGTGGAAAATATAATGAACAACCCCACATAAAAATCACTCAGACCCAATAATTACAAAGACTTTGTCGGTCTTGAGTCATAATGATAGGGAATTGTAAATCCTTAGATTAACAAAGAGCTCTTATTACGGGCCGCCTGCCAGGGCTGAGTGTATCTTTGTTACACAAAGGTCTTTTTAAAGTATTTTTATGCATGAAGAGATTACCAGTATTTCACTAAACTTGGCTGTATGCATCTTTTAAAAATTAGCACCAAAAATAAAAAGAAAAGAAAAAGAAATCCCCAAATGAGACTACAGTAGAATGAACCATTATAAAAAAAAAAAAATCAAAGCATTTCTGTCTGTATTCCCTCACCAGCTCCAGGACTGAACTCCATGATAGTAATAGTGCAAAATCCACTGTATGGCCTGAATATAACATGCAGCTTGATCAGCCAGAAAGTCACTGAAACAGAAAAGAACATTTTCATTATAACATTGTTTCTTAAAGATAGGCCACTGTCTTTACAGCGTATCTGCTGATCCCACACTCTGTCTCAATGTTTTATTTAATCAATGAATAAGCTAAATCATTATAATCAGAAAACTCCAAAATATTTATTTTAAAAAATCCCATCCCATCAGATTAAAGTTTGCCTTAAATTTTTTCTAAACTGACTACCAGAATATTTAAACCTGCTGTGCAGGTCAATGTACTATGCTTTGGTCTAGAGGCTGAGGATTTAGCCCTTGCAGCTTCCTGCAGAGTGGCACCGCCACTCTCTTCAGCCAGGGGCTTTGAGAGACAGGGATGGGAACTTTCTTCCTCTGGGAGGATGCCTGAGAGAATCACAGGAGGAAATCAGAAAGATCTTCAAATCTGGTTATAGCACCTAGAACACTCTCTGAAAAGTGCTATGCCCACTGACAATTTTCCCTCTAGTCCCTTCTTCTTTCTCAAAAACTATCATTTAAGGTAAAATAAATCTTGACCAGAAAAAAAAAAAAGCCCTAGGCTAAAGCAAAAAGTGGCTATAAACTTGTTTGAGGTGTCTATTACCAAAATTCAGGTAGAGATGCACTTAAACATTCCACATCTCCATTTTTCACTTGAAAGTGAAATGTATTTCCTTTTCATTATAAAACAAGTATTTCCTCATTACTGAAAATCGAGAATGAAGAAAAGCATTTTTCATCACCCTATAGCATTCACTATTACATTTTGGTATGTTTCTTTACAGTCTTTTTTATATGCCCAGCTTTTTTTTTTTAATGAGAATATACTATATGTGCGTGTGTCCCGCTTTTAAAACTTGTACTTGTGAATAACGTTAAGTATCTTGCTAAACTATTCTGGACTTTATAATGACACGTGTAGCAGCTGTGCAGATTCTGGTGTAGATGGCAGAGGTGGTGCCAATGAGGAGGAGGTGAAGATGATGATGACTGTTCTGGTCACCAGGGCCAGAAGAATATACCTAAGGAACTAACAGTAAAGGCAGAAACAAGATCCCTACTGTACAGCACAAGGACCGACAAGCTAGCCCAATAATTACAGAAAGAACTAACCAGTTACACTCCAGCCAATCATAACCCCATTACTCACTGTAAGACATTGTGTTTAAATCGTTCCTTTTGTGTTGCTAAAGGTCCCCCCTTGTTTCCTGTAACAAAAGCTGACAGCCTGACAAATTATTGGAAACCCCTTTACTGCAGTGCCTTTGTGGTTACTGAGCATAAAGTGAGAGAAGAACTGAGGGTCGGGGCTGCAGTTCGGCTCTCACATGGGTGAGACGCCGCAACTGTAGCCACTGGCCAGCTAATAAAGGCTCCAAAATCAAACACAAGCTCTGGGGGTCGTCTGTCTTGGGTCCTCCCAGAACAATGACAAACCTTCTTACTGGAAATGTAGATTTGTAATCTTTCACTACTATAAAGACTTTGTAATAAACATCCTTGTGTATAAAAATCTTCCGTGTTTGATATATGTGTGTGTGTGTGTATGTTTGTTTGTTTTAAATATTTTTCCATTGCTTTTTGATAGCGGAAAGGAAGGAGGGAGGGGCAGAGAGAGAAACATCTATGTGAGAGAGACACATCGATTGGTTGCCTCCCACACACACCCCGACCGGGGCCAGGGATGGGTTTATATTTTTAAAATAGATTAACAATTAGAATTATTAGGTCAAAGGGATAGATATTTTAAAGGCTTCTAGATATGTGCTTCCCAAAATAATTTTACCAATTTATATCATCATCAGTAACTAAGGGAAGAACTCTACCACGACCCTGAACCAGTAATGAATACAACAATTTAAAAAGATTTATTTGCTAGGCAAACAAATGGTATCTCATTTTCATAAGTTGGCATTTTAATCTATAAAATGACGGAAAATAAAACCAAAGACTAGTCACCTATTAAATTAAGCATTTAGTGCCAACTCTAAGTACTATATAGTTCTATATAACTGTAATCAAGGAAATAAGAACTAAAGAATATAGGATTAAAAGCATAACTATCATAAATATTTTATTTCTTAAGTCTCAAAAGTCCTACATGCTAGCTAACGCCAGCTGGCAAACCTTCAAATGAGCTGGTGAACTGTGCTAGAATTCTTGTATCTCTTGTTACTAGAGGTCAGTATGAATATAGACACTTCAGAAAGACTGTCTAGATTAGAAGACGGTCTGAAAGTATACAGAGCAATATCTGAAAATTTGGGTTTATCCCTGGGGAGACTCTAGAAAAGATCTAATACTTAGTGCTTTATTACATTAAAAAAACAACAAAAAGCAATAGTAAAAATAATAGTATAGAAAATATCTAGGTACACTGAACAAAAATAAGGGTATATAGCATTTCATGAAACTTTTATTTTACTACTAACAGAGAAGCTGCCTCCTCTAGTGGTTAAGAGCCTAAGTTCTGATGCCAGACTGCCTATGTTCAAATTTGAGCAAATCACTGTTCCTTAATACCCTCTATTGTAAAATAATAATAATTCTACTTATCTTAAAGAATTGTTGTGAGAATTAAATGAGTTAATATTTTTTAAATGCTTTAAATAGTGCATGGCACTTGGTAAGCACTTTATAAGTGTCTGCTAATTAAAGTAAAAAAATACGACCCAATGTAATTAATACTGTGGGCTGCAGTTTAACAGTGTGAAAGCCACTATCCAAGAGATCCAGTCTGAGGAAACTTTTGGAGTAAGTATTCACCTAGGGTTGAGCCAGGTGGCCACAGAGGTAAGCGTGCTGTGAACCATTTTCTATTTGGCAATTTTTATCACAGGAATTGAACATGTCAGCTAATATTGCGTTCTCCAAAACCATATTAGTTGAAAGAGAAAGAAAAATTTATGAAGCCCAAAAATCTTTCTTTCCCACTACCTTATCAAAATTATGCTGTTTTATGAAGGATGCAAAATCTGATTTTTTCTACTTTAAAGTAAAATAAGCACTGGAAAAACATACTCAGACACTATGTCAACTCCCATCTTTGTCATGTAATATGTTCTTTTATATTGTCGAAACTCGGTTTCAAATAGGTCATCATCTTCAGTCTCATCTTCTAAATTGTCTGGAAAAAAGCCAAAAACATAGTGGCTGACAATTATGAATATTCTACTTTTTCACCTAAACCTTTGATAAATACGTATCAAAGCAGATAAATTATCAGAGATATCTCCTCCACCCAATATTGCTGAATTAGTAAAAAATATAACCACCATTCTGTCCAAAATGTAACATATCAAAATACATAGTTTGTACTCACCCTTAGAAGTTACCGCTTCTTCTCTATTTTTATCTAAAGCAGCCCAACATATGGAGTTTTCCTGGCCCTATAAAAATCATAAATCAATATAAAACCAATGACAAGATAAATTTCAAAATGAGATATTTCACAGGGAGGTTTTAAAAATACTAAAAATAAATGAATGATCCTTAAATGACACACTGTAAAACTGTATTTTAAAAATAATTCTCAAATACTGTATAAATGTTTTTGGTTTTATATTACTTGTTTTCTAAAGCTATAAATGTTTATATACAAAACTTAACCTTCAGGCATCTCAAAAATATGTAATTAATTGTCATAAATATAAAAGGGAAATACATTTAATTATATATGTGTTCCAAGAAAAAACACTTCCAAGAACATTTCATTGACTTGGAGAAAAATATATAATCTATATAAAATCCTTCTATAATTTATCACTTTTACCATTTTTATGTGTCAAATTCTGGGCTACTATTAACACAGTATATTTGATTATGATGGAATCCAATGATTACAAATATCACCTTCTTTTCTGTATCTCTGGATTCCATCATTCTTATGACTCCATTACCTACCCCACACTTCTAAATTTTTCTTCTGTGCAACTCACTTGCTTTTCTATAGTTCTTCCATCTCATCACATCCTTCATATCTTTTTCCTCTCCTGTGACTTCATCTTTTCTTTCCTCTATTTTCTGACTGCCTACCTACTGCCAGTGTCTCATTAGTTGTCCCCATTCCCTTATCCCCAGCATTTCCTTTTCTTCAGGTAAAGTGGGCCTCTGTCAACTTCCTGTGCTGTGGCTGTTCCTCCAGCACCTCTCATTTTACCAGTGTCTCTAATATTAACCATATATGACTGGAAGATCTGTGAAGTTTAAGGACTGAGGTAAGTTGGACAGGGCCAGGAATTAATGACTGCTATGTAAGTTTTGTGCGTCCAGGTTCCCCCAAAAGTTGCAGAGGCTGTTTCCTTAAGAGAAAAATCTACAAAGCAGAATGCAGACTGACTGCTTCTAAGTTCCATTAAGAAAAACCTAAGCAATTAAAAGGACTTTCCTAGAGAAAAATCAAGGTAGTTGCCCTTCCTGGAGCAAGAGTCCTAATTAGAACCAATATAGCAAGGAGAGTACAGGAAGCTCATCAATTTGACAATAACCCAATAATTATAGATAAGCTGAGGAAAATTTCAGAAGAGGTTTATTTTCCAAATTGACACAAATAAGACATTCTTTAGACCTATTACAGATGTTTTACAAGGTACCAGCATATTCTAACTAATTCTATTATTTATTTATTGAGCACCTAACATTTAGGAGATACTGTGCTATTCATCACTCTTAACCTGGCCTATCGCTGTATCATATGCATGATTTTATATACAAATTATTTCTACAGAAAAACCACTGATCTAGTTAATGTCTCATACCATTAAATGGTATAAATATCCACATTTTAAAAAGATAACTAATTTTCAGGGCTCTTATAATTAGAAGTGTTTTCTACACTTTGAAAAGACCTAGAAGAACAAAGGAAACCAATGTTCTTCATCAAGGCTAAACATAAGAACATGATTTTAAAGATCAGTTTAAATGACAGGCCAGAGAAAAAAATGATCGAGAAAGAGACTCCAAAACTTTTCAAATGTCCACAGAGAGGAAATGAAAAGGAAATGAAACAACCCCCAAGTAATACGGAAGAAAATGAGGATCAGGGATGTCAGCTTTGCCTCTATGGCTAAACCATGAAAGGACACCTAAGGAATGAGCACCTTTGGTTTTCTCTTTTCCCTGTAGCTCCTGGCTTCTTCCGCTGCAACTCCTGCTGCTTCATTGAGGTACTTGTTTCCTACTTTGCTTTCAAACCACTTGAGGTCCACAAAAACTTCACTGAAGTGCTCCCGATCAAACTGTACAGAAATATTTAAATTCATCTGAAAATCATTTAAGTATGTCTGGAAGAATACAAACCAAACTTTTAACACAGACTACTTCCGGGGCATAGAAATTCAGAGAACGTTACTTTTTTATGCACATGGGGACCTCATCAACTACTTTGAAAATTAAAAATAAAAAGCAAATAAAAAGAATTTAGGTAAAATTATTTATACGGAATGATCAATAGGATTAAAATTACAAAAACATTTTCTTCAGGTATTATGTAATTGCTTACTGACCATTTATAGCTACCCTGGGACAAGAAAACAAAAGCTTCTGGTTACTTACATCTGATAATTTCACAAGGTATTTCTCAAATCGAGGTAAGTTGAGATGGCCACTTTCATTAATATAACCTAAAAGGAACAAAATCTAAGTTTGCACTAAAAGCTGACACTTTTTCCTAAACAATTCGACAAAATTCTTTTTATAAAATGTTGAATGTTGATATTCTACTAATAAAAGAAAAACACTCAGTGTTGGACTCTATAACTGGTTCTAGTTTCTATGAATTTGCTGTTACTACAATATACAATAAGTAACAACCGAAGCAAAATATAAAAAATTCCAGGCTCACATAATAATAATCCTCCCACATTTCCAACACATGGTAACAGTTAAATATGTTGCAGAATATATCCAATTGTTCATCTGATAATGTTATCTTAAGAAAAGGACTAATGTCCTGCTCCTCTGTTGCTTTATTCAGCATCACTGCTGCTTGTGAATTTCCTATTTTAACTGAAAAATCTTTCCCTCATATTACTCTGATGCCTTACCCGTTCAGAAAAACTGAATTCCTATGCTTAAATATTAAAGAAGCTAAGTGAAACCAATAACTTCCACTGAGTTTCTTAAACAATTAAAGGCAGAGATAAGTTAGGTATTAATAAACAAGGCTGCATAATTCTGTTCATTTCTTTGTTTATGAACTATTGAAAACTATAACCTCAAAGCTTGGAGCCTTAGATGAAAAGCAGCCCCCAATTTTTCCTAGTTTAGTTGTGTATGCTATAACCTAATGAACTGAGTCACAATTTTAGAGTTAGTTGAGTGCTAAGTTAAAGCAGAAGCAAATGAATATTAAACTTTGCTTACCCCCAAGTTCTGGCAGGATGGTAATGTATGTTCCATAAAGAAGGGGCAGTGCATCATGATTGATATGTAAATGAGGTAGGTGAGGGATAAAATCATTGCCAACAAGAAACCCCATCAAAATCCAGTCATCTATTATCCTTTCAATATCATATTTAAATGAGATCCTCTCCTACAGTAAAATGGAGAAAATAATCAAATCCAATTTCTGCATGCACATCTTTGGTCCACAGCTATAGTCATACTTACTTTTAACACTGAAAACTCATAGTCAATATACTCTCTCATCAAAGACAAATGTAGGAGGTGAAATGTGGTTTCTTCTGGTGCACATACTCTGTAATTAATCAGATGATCAACACAGAGTTAGTTATTTAATATATATTTGTAGTTAATTATATTTTTAAGGTTGAAGTTTAAAAATATTACAAGACTTAAAATAAAACTTATAGTGAGAAGATAATTAATTCTTGTACTCAAAGCATGTAATTTATGTGAAAGTTTCAGGGTAAAGATAAAAATATAATTATAATTATAATACATATAGCATAAAGTTCAAAATAATTGGTTTATATTATGCTTTCTATGGAAGGACCTAGAATTAAGAAAGCCTAAATAATACATAATAGATATAAACCATGGGGTCTGGCCCACTTAAGGCTGCCCACCAGCAGACAGCACAGAGATAAGTGGGTATATGCTTTTATATCTACTCAGTACAGTCCAAGGCTTCAACAGTGTGGCACTATCACTTCTCTTTCTCCGGCTTGGTATAGGGGCCTATATTCCTGGCTGTTAGCCTATACTCCAAGTTTAACTACAAGTAAGAATACAAGTTAACAATAGCATATTAAAAGAATTATATACCAACAGCAAGTGGGACTTATCCCAGGTATGCAAAAATGGTTCAACGTAAGAAAAAAGTTGATGTAATACATCACAGTAAAAAGGAAAAACACCACACAAACATTTAGCAGAAAAAATTCTGTCAAAATTCAATACCCTCTCATGATAAAAGAAGTCAGCAAAGTAGGGCTAGAAAGAAACTTTCCCAATATGTAAAGGGGATTTATAAAAAACTCACAGCTAACATCATACTCAATGGTGTGAAAGCTTTCTTTCTAAGATCATGAACAAGACAAGATGCCCGTGTTCACTACAGCTATTCAACATTATTCTGGGAGTCCTAGCCAGGGCATGTAGGCAAGAAAATAAATAAAAGGCATCCAAATTGGAAAAAAGAAAACTATCTCTATAAACAGATGGCATAATTCTATATATAAAAAATCCCACAGAATCCACAAAAAAACTACTAATGAAAAAAAATTTTTTTAGCATAGCTGCATATCAACATACAAAAATCAGTCGTGTTTTCACACACCAACAACAAAACCAAGAAGGAAATTAACAATTATACTTACAATACTGCCCAAAAGAATAAAACACTAGGTAATAAACTTGATCAAGGAAGCAAAAGAAAAAAACCAGAGACAAAAAACGAATTTAGAGATAAAGAGAACAGACTGATGGTGCACAGAGGTGGGGTGAGGGGGGCAAAATGAAGGTGGTTAAAAGGTACAAATTCAAGTTATAGGTTAAATAAGTCCTGGGGATGAAATGTACAGCATGGTGGCTGTATTTTTTGGGGGGAGTATTTTTTTTTGTTAAATAATAAACAATGCATTGGAAGACTTAATATCAAGACAGAAATACTATCCAAAAGGATCAACAGATTCAAAGCCATCCTTAATAAAATTCCAAGGATCTTTTTACAAAAAAAAAAAAAAAAAGTCCATCCTAAAAATTGTTAATCTCAGGAGACTCCCAAACAGCCAAAATAATCCTAAAGAAGAACAACAAAGTTGGAAGTCTCACCCTTCCTGATTCCAAAACTTAATATAAAGCCACAGTGATCAAAATGCTGTAGGGCATAGACAGGCATACAGACCAATGGAATAGACTACTGAGAACAGAAATAAACCCTTGCATATATATATGGTCAAGTGACTTTCAACTAGAGTGCCCAGACCGTTCAGTGGGGAAAAGATCATCTTTTCAACAAGTGGTGGTGGGAAAACTGGATATCCACATGCAAAAGAATCTGAAGTTGGACCTTTACCTTATACCATATATAAAAGTAATTTAACATGGATCAAAGACCTAAATATAAGAGCTAAAGCTATAAAACTCTTAGAATAAAATGGGAAAAAGCTTTAGGACATTGGATTTGTCAATGATTTCATGGACATTTCACTAAAGGTACAGGAAACAAAAAAAATAGATTGGACTGCATCACAATTAAAAATTTTATGTATCAAATGGCTATCAACAGAGAAAAGGCAACCCACAGAATGGGAAAAAATATTTACAGATTACATATCTGTTTAGGGATTACTATTCTTAATTTAATTTCTGCTTTTTTCTTCCAACGTATATGCAGTATGATATACCTCTGTGTCTTTTTTCCACCAAACCGAACCTCTTCTCTTAAAAGAGAGAAATGTGCCTCGTGGCTTGTTAATCCAAGCATGATCTGTTGAAAAAAGATTAAGACATGTTTTTATTCTCTCACTTTTTATAGTATCAGGTTCACAAAAGCAATTAAATAAAAAATATTTCTATATAGAGAAGAATATGATTAAAGAAAATGAAACAATTTGTTAGCACATTAAATATAGGAATATCAAAATATGATCCATTTATAGGTTATGAATGGGTTAAAATATACTTTTCTAAGAAAAAACTGTTTACACTCACATGACCTTAGACACTCACTCTACCCACCCCCCCCCCAAAAAAATCCCTAAAACCTTCTCTTGGTTTTCACACCTTTCACTTGCCAGGGGAGAATGGGTAAGAAATTAAAGGCAGCAGCTTTTCCAATAGCAGAAAATAGGTGTCTTCTGGAGGCCAGGATACCTCTAGTAAATGAAAACTCAGACAAAACTGGAAAAGGGCATTTTCATTTAATTTTCTCACTTAGTATTCTAATCCCCAAAGCATATTAAACAATGTATATTGTTTATTTTATTTCAGCACTAATTCAAACAAAACAAAACGAAACATTTGTGAAGCAACTGGGGAAATGAGAATACTAAACGGTTATTTACATATTAAACAGTGATTGTTAATTTTTGTTTTATGTGAGATAATGGCATTGTGGTTTTTTAGAGAAGCATTATGGAAGAGTTATAGATTAAATGATACAAGGTCTGAGATATGCTTCAAGAATCCAGAGAAGTAGGAGGAAGGAGACAGATGGGAAGGGATAGGAGCTGAAAATTATTTAAGGTAAATAAAGGAGACAAGCAGGTTCAGTATACTATCTTCTCTACTTTTGTTTATGTTTGAAATTTTCCACAATAAAAAGTTAAAAGAAGTCTAGTCAAGTTACTTGGGTCATGCAGTTATCAAATCAGGTGGTATTAAAAGTTATGTATTAACCATAAGAGTCAAAAGGGCCCTCTACCCTGACCTCAGCAGGCCCTTCATAGCATTAGTGTCAGTCAGGTGTGAACACTAACTATAGAAAGACCTGTTGATCATAACATATGGCAAAAGAGCTCATCTTCCAATTGTTTTTGTAATGGCAGAACTGGCCATCACTATTGTGTCTCCAATATTTGTTTCCAGAGCCAGAAAGCTTCTTACATAAAGATTAAGTTTCTCAGATATATAACTACAATGGCATAAGGTTATAACAACAACAAATATTATACTTACCAAGTCAGCATCTAAACCATAGAGACAGTGTCTGGTGTTTGGATCATGATCTGGCTTTGCTTTCTCGGATCTGATAAATTCCATGATTTTATGTTCTCCTTCTCCAGGAGTCTAAATATAATGTTTTCAAAATTTTGGTAATATGACATGCATTAGAAATTAAAATTTTAAAATTCTTTTAATAAAAAAAAGGTAATAACCTCATGGCCTGAGAAATAGATGGTAACTCCTTGCCATGACTTGTCCGTAGAAATTTTCATATTTACAAAATACTTCAGGTGTTCATGTAATCTGGCCATGAATTCAGTCCCTATAAATAAAAAGTTTTAAAAAGTTTAATCCGAGAGAGACATAAAAACAGTGAGCTCCCAGTGACAACATGAAATTGGATGTTGGTGTCCAGGGAGTAGCTGGGTATAGATCTCCAGAGGAGGTCAAAAGCTTCTTCCTTATCTAGTAAAGCCAGTTACGTTGTACCGTTCCCTAACAAGTATCACAACTGTTTCTCATTTCACTGGTTACCCTTGAATGAAGTTAATGTCACACAGGGAAAGTCAAGGAATGTCACTACTGCCTCATCAGGACTATGCTTCAAAGTCTTTCAAAAAGGGCAGGGTTTCAACTTTGTAACAAACCTCAAACTTCTATTTCCTCTGCTGGATTCTGAAGTTTTTTTGTAAGGCATGCACTTCAATCAGACAGCTAATAGCAACAACAAAGGCAACTATTATTCTTACTACTGTTAATCTGGAAACTAAGTCTACATGGCTATAGTTTATGAAAAGCCCAGATGGTCAATAGCCAAAGCAAAAGTGTCTTAAACCACAATCAGGATAAAACTGGTTACGAAATCAAGCAATGTGTGATTATCAGAGTTAGTAAAGAATTCATGAGAAAGTAAGATTTTAAGGGTTTTTTTCAAAGTAAAGGAATATAATGTTAGGCAAAGCTCCAGGAAGTACAGAGTATGTTGCTGCATATAAATTAAACTGATAATACTGATAAATTCATTTATCCTAAAGCCACAGATGTCTTCACTGCCTTTCAGGTGTGGCGTAGTAAGCACTCTGAATGAGAACAGGTTTCTTATTTGGAAGACAAGCTAGCAACGTGAACATGGATGAGCCACAACCTGACCCAGTGAGTTTCCATACAAATAAATGGAGGCAGTAAGGCAAATCTTGTAAGTTGCTTTTAGGTCTGAAATTCTGTGCACCTGGAAGACTCCAGTCTAGAGCTGCTCTCATTAACATCTGTTAATCCCTACAGTGGGTCTTCATAGGAGCACCCATGACCAAGGCAATCAAACCATCTCATGAAGAAACACAATTGAAAAGCTAAAGCAAATGGAATACTAAGGACAAAATACATAAAGGCTAGAAAAGAAAAATTTACATTTTAAATCTCTTTACCTGGTGTAATGCAGTTGGAATCAAATCTGGCCTCTGTAGGAAGGGTCTCTCCTTTTTCTATTGCCTTTTTAATTTTGTCTTCTGCCTCCTTTGCTGACCTTAAATGATAAGGGGGAAAATATCTTAAACTTTCTGGGGAAAAGTAAATAACTTTATATAAAGTAAACTGTTATTTAGATGCTTTTATAACTAAAATGCTAATTCATCAATTTCAAGGTTCAAAACAATACAAGTTTTGAAATAACTTAATTGATAAAAATGAGTCCAAGTATTGTTTGTTTTTACTTATGCAAAGAATTGAGTTTTTTTTGGACTATAGAAGTAGAACATGGTCAACGTAAAAAAACATTTAACAAACCTGTGAAGAATTTTTGTGAGTTTATTTGAGCCAAACTGTGGACACATGCCCGAAAGTAAAATCTCAATGGATTGAGAAAATGCTCTGGAGAATAGCAGTATTGCCCCTTATTTTATACACTACAATCAAAAGAGGAGCCATAAATGGGTTACATGAAATCCACTGGTGATAGATAGGGAGGCAGGAGAAAGCAAACTGGGGGGACCTCTGGGACTGGATAAAAAGTAAAATGATGGACACACACTTACTCAGGTGGGTGCAGGATAGTTAACAGTCAACAATTAACTCTAACAATGAGGGGATTTATGGTCTCTGCAGTGCGGTGCCTGTGCTTTGAGGGGTCCAGAAAAAGGAAAATTACTTTGCTATTCCAAACATGTATTATTGTAGATGCAAAAGGCCAACAGACAGGCTCAGTTAGGGTAAAGATTTTACCTTTGTCAGGGAAGATGCCAGCCTAGGACATGACTGCCTGCCGTACACTGATTTTAGTTAAAAAGCTTTAATTTCAGACCATCCTATGTGGTTACTTTAGGTCTCTCAAGTTTCTCAGGCCTTCCCTGAGCTAGTCAGGTGAGCATGTGGCCCGTTTTCATCCACACAGAATTAACATAAGGTGCAAAACTGCCATTCTCCAGAGCATTACATCTCAAGCCTCTGAGGTTTTGCTTCCCAGCAATTGTCGACAGTTTGGCTCAAATAAACTCACAAAAATTCTTCACAGATTTCAACGTTTCTTACATTGAGAACATTATAATGGTATAAAACTGACAGAAGATTACAAATACTTATTATAAAGTAATTCCTTTCTTTTTCTCTTTCTTAAAAAACAGTTTACTGATTTTTAGAGAAAGAGGAACGGAGGAGAGAGAAATACTGATGTGAGAGCATAACATCAATCAGCTGCGTCCTGCACACCCCCTACCAGGGATCGAGCCTGAAACCCACCTGGGCATGTGTCCTGACCAGGAATTGAACCAGCAACCTTTAGGTGCCTGGGAGGACACTCAATCAGGGCAAGTAATTCCTTTCTTATCACTACTATATAGCAAATTCATTCTTGGAACAAGTTCAAAAGTATACCATTAAACTTTCATTATACAGTTGTGAGTATGCAAAACAGTTTATTCTTGTATTATTATTTATTATTATATTATTTTACATACGAACAACTGTAAACCTACCTTTGCCCCACCTTGTATACCCCACCTTGTATATACATTTAATAATATCAAACAAGAAGTACATTATTAACATGATCTCTAAAAATATTATATACAAATAATTATAAAATTGTAATGTATATCTTTAGGTTTCCTCATAAAACATTTAAAATAAAAGCTTACTAACATTAATGGCAACAGTTGGCAAAATCACCTCACTTTTACGGCAATCAGGCTTACTAGAAGAACGTGAGTTTTGGAGTCGGGGAACTCATTTAAACAGAAGCATCCCAGTGCGGTCCAGTTTCACTGCGGCACATGAGCGTGCCGCATGGCATACAGGCTAGGAGGCTCTGCTTCATGTACATTTCTACAGCCCTGTTATTGTGCCCTGTGAAATTCTATTTCTGTGATAAACTTTTCTTCATATTTTACCTCTTTTACAACCTCTTCTATATAATAAAAGCTCTGAAGGTATCAACTCATTTATAATTTCGCCAATGAAAGCCACTCTGTCCTCTTTTCTCCCCTTCCCTCTTAGACTGAACAAATGATAATATTTGTAACTATGTGACAAGTTCTTGGGATGTAACAAAAGAGAAACTCTAGTGGGGAGACAGAAAATTAAACAGCCATAATGTTTAATGTGGCTACAATAGAATGTTGGGAAAGGGACAAGGTAAAGCTGTTAACGTAATCTAGGTCATAGGTTATGGTGGCCTAGGCTGAGACAGCAGCAGTAAAGATGAAAATAAGTCAATGGACATGAAGGATTTTTAAGAGACTGGATAAAGAGAAATGAAGAACAGGAAGAATTCCAAATTACTCTTGGACTTCTGGGTTAAGCAGCTATTTCCATGGTGATGTCATTCACTGAAACAGGCAAGACGGAAGGCAGGCAGTTTTGAGGCAGAGGAGTTCCGTTCTGACATGTTAAGCCTGAAACGTATCTGTGGTATCCAAAGGAGACACTGAGCAGGCACTTGGATATATAGGGAGCTCTAGAGAGACATATTTACCGGAAAGATAAACTTGGGAGTACAGACACAGTAATTAAAGTCACTGGATAAGATCACTCAGGACCCAGGACAGAACCTTAAGAAACATCAATATTTAAGAAAAAGTGGAGGAAGAGACTAAGAAGGTACAGAGAGTATGTGGTTATGTGAAGGTCAAGGAAAGGAAGTCTAAGAAAGAAAAGTAAACTTTGTTAAAATATCATAGATAAATGAATATACAGAATTATTCTTTAGATTCTCCCATAAAGGAGTCTACTTGTAATCTTACAAGGAGGTTGCAGAGGATGAAAGCCAGATGAGAGCACATTTTAAAATGAGTAAGAGGCAGACAGTCCCACTGTGCTCCAGGTATTTTTTTCTGAACAAAAGCTGTATCAACGTATGTTTCAAGGATGGCTCTCTCTATCACTGTAAAATGGGGTGGACAGGAATATTCAGTGACTACACTGTCAGAAGATGATACTGTGCTGGATCTCAGTTTCTCAAGACCCTTACAGGAGTGCTACCAGAACGACAGAAATTACTTGGACTTAAAGTTAAAGGCAAACCTGCAGAAAATGATGTTAAGCTTGGAGCTCTCAAACTGAAACCAAATACTAAAATCATGACGATGGGAACTCGTGAGGAGAGCTTGGAAGATGTCTTAGGTCCACCTCCTGACAATGATGATGTTGTCAATGACTTTGATATTGAAGATGAAGTAGTTCAAGTAGAAAATAGGGAAGAAAACCTACTGAAAATTTCTCGCAGAGTAAAAGAGTACAAAGTGGAAATTTTGAATCCACCCAGGGAAGGGAAAAAGCTTTTGGTACTAGATGTTGATTATATGTTATCTGGCCATAGGTCTTGTGCAGAGACTGGGATAGAATTAATGCGGCCGTATCTTCATGAATTCCTAACATGTGCATATGAGGATTATGACATTGTTATTTGGTCTGCAACAAATGTGAACTGGATTGAAGCTAAAATGAAAGAGCTGGGAGTGAGCACAAATGCAAATTATAAGATTACCTTCATGTTGGACAGTGCTGCTACGATAACAGTGCATACGCCAAGGAGAGGATTAACAGACATAAAGCCTCTTAGCGTTATATTGGGAAAGCTTTCAGAGTTTTACAGCAAAAAGAACACCATTATGTTTGATGACATAGGAAGAAATTTTCTAATGAACCCACAGAATGGACTAAAGATAAGGGCTTTTACGAAAGTGCACCTAAATCGAGATAAAGACAAAGAACTTTTAAAATTAACTCAGTACCTCAAGGAAATAGCAAAATTAGATGACTTTTTGGACCTGAATCACAAATGCTGGGAAAGGTATCTCTCAAAGAAGCAAGGACAGTAGTTCCAAGTTATGCTGGCAGTTATTGAAGATACTTGAGATCCATCAACTCTTGCTTTGATGCTAGAAATCATTATAATAGTGCTGGACACTGAAGCAAATACCAGACTGCTTATACTTGGTCTTCCAGTTTTTTGTAAATTTAATTTTATATTTTTTGAAGATTATAGCAATATGCTAAAAATATTCTCTCCCTCCCCCCATGTGAATATACTGTTACTCTTGAAAAAAGCATTTTCTCCAGGATTGAGTACTGAGGCTCCGCCCCCCCGTGCCACACAAACAAAAAGTGCGCAAAAATGTATACTCAACAATGTCATTTTGTGACTTTGGAAACAAGTTATGTCTTGTGTTCCTGCCTTATTTGTGTTGTTGTCGGACTAAATCTAAGACCAAACCCATCTTGAAACTACTGCTTTTCCTTTTAAAACCAAAAAAATATTTTTTCAGTAAGGAACCTAGTTTGGTATACTTAAAATCAACAACAGTTTTTTTATTCCTTTGTTATAGACACAATTTCTCTTCTTACTCCACTACTGACATCTCTAAATTCTGAGCTATCTCAGTTTGGCTGTACGTGTGTCAGTGTTCTTTGAGTAAAACTGGAAAATGTCAGCTGGGAAAGCAGTTTGTCATAGTATGAAAAATAGAAAACATAAGATTGAAGAATAAAACTAAAGAACACTAATGTTTCTTTTTGGTGGCTAAGTAGAAACATTTTTGCATAAAACCATTGTCACAAAAGCAGGTAAAAGCAATACATTATAAAGTGGGACATATCACTGATTCAGCCCTAAAAATCATGAACAAAAAGTTTTTGCTCTCTTCTAGCTATATCTTGTCTAAGTGCAAACACTGTGTTTCAGTAAAAATATCTAGCTATAAGCTTAAAAAAATTATTTGCAATGCTTAAGCCTGCAGATATGTGACCACTGTTTTGTGTTGACAGTATTGCTTTATACAGTTCTTGTATTTGAAAGGAATCTGATTCTTTCAAATGAACATGGTGTACATTGTTCTTACAAGCCTATCTGAGTGGTGTAAATAATAAATACCTTTTCTTAAAAAAAATAAAATGAGTAAGAAACGTGGAAAGATTACAAATGGAGAAAATAGTCACTGTAGAGAATGAGAAACAGCTGACTGGGGGACTTGGGGCACCTGGAGCACAGCACTTAGTAAATGCTTTTGGTGGTTATGGTGAACTGGCCTCCAGCACCCGTTCCATTCCTAGTTTGTCTTCTAATACTGGAGAGTTCGGAAAGCTAAAAAATTAAGCGCTTGGGTTTTCCTGCAGCTGGGTTTCTAGACATGACTTAGACTTGGTCAGTAAGACGCCTCCAAAATGGTTTGGAAGGTAGAAGTGTGGTGGTGAGGCACTGGAGTTGTGTGTGTGGGGGGGGGTGTTTCATAGTAGAAGAGATCTCGATATTCAGCAGCTTTGTAGGTGCTGAGAAGCAAGGCGCAGGGCATCTGCTTTTCGGTTACAGATCAAGCAGGCGCACTGGGGCTCTAGAGCTAACAGATACAGTGTTAGCTTCTTGATAGCTGAATTTTAAGTAAAGTGACATATTCTTGGAGGCAACAGCTCAGGTGATAGTTATTCTCCGAATCACAGCTAAAGGATTACATTCCTGCAAAAACCTTTTCTGGTGGGGCCTCTGAACTCACCTTCTTCAGTGTAGTACTAGCAGTGCCACCTACTGGTGGGTCAACTGTATGGTGTGTTCCGGAAATCATTCTTTTTATTTATTTATTTATTTATTTATTTATTTATTTATTTATTTATTTTTAATATATCTTTGTTGATTTCAGAGAGAGGAAAGGAGAGGGAGAGAGAGAGAGACAGAAACATCAATGATGAGAGAATCATAGATTGAGCCCGCAACCCGGGCATGTGCCCTGACGGAATCGAACGTTGATCACCTGGATCCTAGGTCGACACTCAACCGCTGAGCCATGCCCGGCTGGGCTGGAAGTCATTCTTGAAGGCTCACATAGATTCCCACCCTTTTGGCTCTTAGAACAATTTTTATAGGCACCTAATTCTTAATTCTCTTTATTATAGACCTTTTGTTAGATAGGCATGAGCAGAGCATGGATGATGGGCCAGGTAACAGAAACTCACTACGGCAGAAAGCCCCAGATGCCTAGCAAGGAGAAAAACTGGAAAAACAAGAAGCTTGTTCCCAGGGAAACCTATCTTCCCCTGGTCATGCAGTTTAGACGCCCCCCTGAGCATTTCCTCCCAAAAGGTAACATCTAGGCCCCAGCTGTATTTCAGCTCCAGGCCCAGAAAAGCAGCGAAACCAGACAAGTGGCCCCGTGGCTGCCTCAGGACCAGATACACTGACTAATGACCCTCTGCCCTGGCATCAACCAACCAGTGCAGACCAGAACCCTGAAAGAGCCCACCTGGGAAGCTGATGAATATTCTATGGAGACCCTCCCCTAAGATTCCCACCTGCAAGAAAGAGATAAATATGCTCAGGACAAAGGACCCATTGTGCGCTTTCCACCAGCAGACCATGCCAGTGCTATCTCCCTCCCCCTTCTTCACTCCGAGGGGACCCCCCAGACGTGCAACCAGGGGAGCAGTGGGCAGCCGCAGCTCCCCTGGCTAACCAGTACTTCTGACCATCCTCCTCTCATTATCACTGCTAGCTGTCAAGGTACTCTCTTTTTCCTCGAGGATTTCCACATCTGATTCTTAGATGCCCTTGGGACTACTTTACCTGCCACAGTGGTGAAAGGATTCATTATGCTAATGAGCCATCAAATATGCTAAACTCAGGGTTTCTTTCCTTCCATTCTAATGACCCTCTTAACTTCGCTTCTGCTACTCACAAGGACACAGCATGCTCTCATGGTTATTCAGAAATATTTCACAGGTCCAGGACTTTGATTTTAAAACCCTCCCTGTGTGTATAACCTCTTCTCATCATTTTACTTCTATCCAACTCATAGCACTGATAATCTGGGGGGAAACGGGGGCAAAAGTAGATTTATAGTTGTTTGAATGGAAAATAATACATTAATAACAATACAACAATAAACTGTTTCATGTACTCACAACTGCAAACCTACTTTTGCCCAACCTTGTACATCCAGTATCCTAACTCAGCTCTCTTCTCCATCAATCACCTTCTAGTCTCACTTGTTCTGGATCCCTGCTCAGAACCAGCATCTAGCCCAGAATCTGGGCAGTCAACAAATACTTGTTGAATAAAATTAAAATATCAATGATATTCTGATTAGAACCACCTCTGTTCATTCTGCAGTTTCCTAGCTCAAGACATACTACTACAGAACCATTATCTGCAAGATGCTTGAAAAATTTGTGACAGAGAATGACAGAGTCACTTTCTACAGCCCAACACAGGCTTTGAGAAATGACACCTCCCTTGAATTACTAATTTGTTTACTCAATTGATAAAACATTACACTATAAATATATTTCCATTTCTAGAGAAATTTAAGCAGAGCAGAAACATCAAGAGAAGATCCACTGTGTTAAGTCAGTTATCATTAAAATAATGTATTTTATTAATCTAAATAGTACTCTAACATAAACCATAAATGTTTTACCTAAAACGCCTTCCCCGCTGCTGGTTCATTTTTGCCCGAGGAGCCACACCATCGACTGCCATGAAAAACACTTTCCTGGGTTTAATGATGCGAAACAACACCTCCAAGTAATGAAAAACATCAGTGAAGATCTTATCATCTGAGATTCTGAAGTGAACGTCGTCATCATTAGGGTGGGAACACTGATGTATGATTCCATTCATGTCCAAGTACAAGTTGTCAAACTCAGGAATCTAAACAACAGAGAAATGATTAAGGTCATTATCATCATCAACCATGGACACCTAAGCAGCTGGGCTTAGCAGCCAGTAAAAAGGACACGGAGGCATCTCATTATATAAAAACTGAGTGAACAACCACATCTGAATAATGAAAGTAAAGAAAGAACAGTAAGAACTGGTAAGATGGAGACATATTATATGGTTACACAAATAATGTAGCAATAGCTTGATCAAAGTTACTGTCAGGAAATTATCTATTTCAAACAAGATAACCCTGGAAAAGCCCATAAAAGGTGCCTGGTTCATTTGGTACTCAGAATATTAGTTTCCTTTATTCCTACTGTTTGACATCAATGCTCAAAATCTCAACTATCTCTATAAATGGATAAATACTGTGATAAGGGAAAACTCGGTCTAAAATGGCCAACAGTCCCCTCCCTCCCCCCTTTCCTGCACCCTGCCAATTTCCCCGAGTGCGCCAAATCAGAAAGGGAGGGCATTCTCCCACCCTAAGCAAGGTATAGCTTGCCACATAGGCTGAAGCATGTACGATATACAACTCCTTGCCCGATTGTGCTCGGGGCTCATTCTTTGGAGTTGGACTCCTCTGGGCCAGCCGGTGTAAAATAAACCTCCTGAACCCGGAGCCTCCGAGTGGCCCTTGGTCTTTCCATAAGGTGAACGTCTCTGGTTCTGCAACATTTTGGTTCCCTGACCAGGAAGCACAAACATGCTGGTCCCTTGCTGCCACCGGTTTGAGTGGGAGCACAGGGCTGCAGACAACAAGGAGTCGCTGCAGAGGGGAAGGCGTGCCCTGCCCTGATTTGGCAGTCTCCGACCCGGCTGCCCCTACTCGGCCCGCACTGCAGTCCCCACCCTGACAGACTTGAGGAGGCAGGTGGGACAGGACCAGGACCAGGACCAGGCAAGGGACACGGTAAGGCCCTAGGGCCCAATGGGGTTAGGCCTGCCTGAATGGGCAGAAGGGGAGCCTGATCACCTCCCAAGGACCTCTAGTGGTCACCAGGTAGAGTTAACCAGGGAGAAAATGTAATAACCTCTGAATGACTGTGATAGTGAATGTGTCTGTGATCCCACGGTGCTAGCCATGGGATTTGAGTGGGCACTAATCTGTATCCATAGTTGGCCGTGACGACATAATGGTGACTCAGCTTCGGCTGACCAGGTCTGGGGATTATATGGGCTCACCTTAGTCAAGGCTGGCACAAGTCACTGCAAGGCAGCACACGGATGGGCATCTGAAAGGTCCCTCTGGGGACTCCCTCACCCTTTGTCTGTATCTGACACCATACACGGGAACATGGGAGGAAGTCAGGGAAAGCCCACCGTCCTAGACTGTATGCTGAAAATTTTTAAGAAGGGCTTTTCCGGGGACTATGGCATCAAAATGACTACCGGCACTCTTCGCACTTTGTATGAACTTGAATGGACCACCTTTGGGGTCGGTTGGCTGTCGGGGGGGAACCTTGGATGTCCAGGCAATCCGCCGGGTCTTGCAAGTTGTCACCGGAAACCCCGGCCACCCAGACCAGTTTCCTTACATAGATTCCTGGTTAGAAATAGTGTGGACTTTGCCCCCTTAGGTATGATTCTGCACCAATAGGCAGGGAGAGGCTAAGGTCTTCATTGCTCAGCCTGAAGGAAAACAGACCCCTTGAGTTTTTGTGGGAGACGAAGAAGATGAGCCTCCCATCGGGCCACCCCCCAATCTCAGAGAGTCTCGAGAACCTACGGCCCCTCCGGTGCCAGATGTTAATACTCCACCACCGTCAGTGTCACCTCCACCCCAAGGGGGAGAAGGCCCTCCCACACCAGGATGGGCTGGGAGACTTTGCCCACGCCAAGCGGCCCTCCAGATGCCAGAGTCTCGAGATCCCAAGAGGCTGAATGACAATGGTACAGTTCAACCTGGTCGCTCCATGAAGTACTACCAGCCCTTCTCCACCACTGACGTCCTCAACTGGAAGCATAACACCCTGCTATATTCCAAGAAGACACAGGCCATGATAGACCTCATGGAATCTCTCTTCCAGACACACCAGCCAACCTGGGAAGATTGCCAGCAACTCTTCTGTACCCTGTTCAACATGCAGGAGAGGCGTCAGATTATCAGGGGGGGCCGCCAATGGCTAGAAGATAACGCTCCCGCAGAGGCGAAGGATCCAGCAGACTGGGCCCTAAGAGAGGCCCCTGAGGAGCGCCCCAACTGGGATGGGGCTTCACCACTGAGGAAGGCCAGGGTCACATCCGGCGCTACCAGGAGACAGTCCTCCACGGAATTTGGGGGGGGGGGGCAAAAAGCCAATGAACATGGCCAAAGTCTCCTCAGTAACACAGATGCCAGGAGAAACCCCTGGGGACTATTATGAGCGGCTCTGCAAGGCATACCGGATCTACCCGCCTTTTGATCCCAAGGTACCAGAGAGCCAGCAAATGGTCAACAATGCCTTCGTGGCACAGGTCGGCCCTGACATCCAGAGAAAACTCCAGAAACAGGAGGGTTTCACCGGCATGAATAGAAATAGCCAACAAAGTCTACATGAACAGAGAAGCCGCCGCCGAGCGGGAAGCTGACAAGAAGAAGAAAGTTAGCCTCCTAGCAGTGGCCCTCAGAGAGGAGGGATCAAGAGGGCAAAAGAAGACTCGCCTGCCAAAGGGGGGATATCGACGGACCCCACTGGCTGCAGACCAGTGTGCCTATTGTAAGGAGATTGGGCACTGGATAAATGAGTGTCTCAATAAAGCAAAACCTCAGAAACCTAGTAAATATCAAGGGGAGCCACAAGAAGGCAACCTTGTTGGGTTAGCCGGCATAGACTGACTGAAGGGGATCGGGCCTGATACTCCTTGGCCCCCACAAGCCCACGGTCAGGATGAATGTCGGGGACCAAAATGTGACTTTTATGGTAGACACCAGAGCTGAACACTCAGTAGTCACTATGCCTGTGGCCCCCAGGGGAGGAAGACAGCCACAATACTTGGAGCGACCAGGGACCGGGCCATCCAGAAATCCTTCTGCCAAGCTCGCTTGTGTGAACTTGGGGACCATCGGGTATGGAATGAGTTCCTGTACATGCCTGAATGCCCCATCCCTCTCCTTGGCTGAGACCTCCTCTCTAAGCTAGGGGCCAAGACCACCTTTGGACCAGGAGGGGCTACCACCCTGCAGCTACACCCTGGTAGCGAAGACTCCGCACCCCTCCTTATGGCAGTCATCACCCCAAGAGAGGAAGAGTGGAGGCTATTCGGCACTCCGGAACACAGCGAAACCCTCCCCCCGGGTTCCAGGCAGAATTTCTTCTTGTCTGGGCTGAAGATAACACTCCTGGAATTGCCCTCAACCAGGCTCCAGTGGTAGTTGAGCTAACACCTGGAGCTCGCCCACAGAGGCAAAGGCAGTATCTCACCCCCCGAGAGGCACACCTGGGTATCCGAGACCACCTAGTCAAGCTCAGGGACTCTGGTATCCTGGTCGAATGCCAAACGGCTTGGAACAGTCCCCTGCTGCCTGTCAAGAAACCTGGGGGTGGATACCGGCCAGTGCAGGACCTCCGGGCCATCACCAAAGTAACTGTCTCCTTGCATCCAGTGGTTCCAAATCCATACACCCTCCTCAGCCAGGTCCCTGGCACCGCCGCATGGTTCACCTGCCTAGACCTAAAGGATGCCTTCTTCTGCCTTCGGCTCGCACCCCAAAGCCAGCCCTTATTCGCCTTTGAATGGACAGACCCAGACACGGGAAGACAGGTGTCACTGACCTGGGCCCGGTTACCACAGGGTTTTAAGAACTCACCCATCCTGTTTGGGGAGGCTCTAGCCACTGACTTAGCCGCTTACCGGCAAGAGGCTGTCCAATGTACCCTTATCCAGTATGTGGACAACCTACTCATCAGCGAAACCAAGGAAGATTGCATGGCAGGAATGTGGGCCCTTCTCAAATTACTGTCAGAAGCTGGGTATCGTGTCTCATGGAAGATGATCCAGATCTGCCAACGGCAAATCTGGTACCTTGGGTTCCTCCTTTCACAAGGCTGCCGGGCCCTAGGACCTGAGAGAAAGAAGGTGATCACTTCGCTGCCATGGCCTCAGACGAAGAAAAGCCTTCGAGAGTTGCTAGGGGCTGCGGGGTTTTGCCGGATCTGGATTCCAGGCTTCTCAGCAATAGCGAGACCTCTTTATGCTGCCTTAGCCAGTCCTGATCGGAGTCCTCTGCGTTGGACAGAGGAGGCGGAGGAGGCATCCGGGGCATCAAATCAGCCCTCGGACAAGCCCCTGCGTTGGGATTGCCTGACAGTGAAAAACCGTCAACCTGTTCATCTGTGGAGAGGACAAGATAGCTCTAGGGGTACTTACACAGCCTGTCACCCCTTGGCAAAGGCCCACTGCATACCTGTCTAAGAAACTGGACTCAGTAGCTGCTGGATGGCCCGTCTCCACGCCCTAGCAGCTACCGTCCTCCCCATGAAGGACACTGAGAAACTCACCCTCTGACAGGTATTGAATATCAAGGTACCACACTTGGTTGTGTTGCTGATGAACAGCCAAGGGAACCAGTTCCTCTCAAATCCTGCCTAGCTCAGTATCAGGGGTTACTCTGCGAGAACCTCCACATCACTCTGGAGACTGTACGCATGTTAAACCCAGCCACCTTCCTCCCCACAGAGGAAGGCAAACCGGATCAGGACTGCGCAGAGGTAACTGATGAGGTCTATGTGAGTCGCCCGGACCTGCGGGACCAGGCCATCCAAAACCCGGAGCTAACACTGTTTTGTGATGGCAGCAGCTATCTCCAGGAAGGAGTCTGCAAGGCCCGGTATGCAGTAACCACATTTGAAGAGATCTTAGAAGCAAAGGCCTTGCCCGCTGGGTGGTCAGCACAGAGGGCTGAACTGCAAACTCTGATCCAGGCCCTAACCCTTGGCAAGGGCAGGCAGGTTAATATCTACACTGACTCCCGCTACGCATTTGCCATGGTCCACGTACATGGGGCCATCTACAAGGAAAGAGGCCTTCTCACAACAGTGGGAAAAACTATTAAGAATAAAGCAGAAATCTTAAAGCTAGAAGCTATTTGGCTCCCAAAGGAAGTAGCCATTCGCCACTGCAAAGGACACCAGAAAGGAATTGACCTCATTGCAAAGGGAAACCACTTAGCGGAAGAGGCAGCGAAAGCAGCCGCCCAGAAGGAACCATCCCATCCAGACCCAACTCTGGTCCTCGCCCCAGTAAAAGATCCCCGTCAGCCTAAGTACACCCCTGAAGAGACTAAATGGGCCAAGGAAGAAGGGGCTACCCTCACAGCGCAGGGCTGGTGGCGACTACTGGATAGCCGCATCATAGTCCGAGCAACCTTTGGGCCTCACCTGCTATCTGAGTACCATCAGCTCATTCATCTTGGAAAAACTGCCCTGGAAGCCCTCCTGAAAAAACAGTATTACATCAGCCACCTGCCAGCGCTGTGACAAGCAGTGGGGGAATGGTGCGCTACCTGTGCCAGGAACAATGCGCATTCCATGCCTCGGCCCTCTCCTGGAGTCCGGAGAACAGGAAACGCTCCTTTTGAGGACCTAGAGATAGATTTCACAGAGGTCCTGCCCAGTCGAGGGTACAAGTACTTCCTGGTTTTAGTTTGCACATACTCAGGATGGGCCGAAGCAGAGAAGTTGCAGAGGCCCCCCTATGGGAAGTCATCCCTAGGTTCGGCCTGCCGCTGAGCATCCACAGTGACAACAGACCGGCCTTCGTAGCTGAAATTATCCAGACCCTGGCGAAGGCCCTCAGCATATCATGGAAACTCCACACAGCATAACGGCCTCAGAGCTCAGGGAAAGTAGAGCGCATGAACCGTACCCTTAAGGAAACAGCCAAATACAGCCAAGAAACCAGTCTCTCCTGGGTAGATCTACTGCCCTTGGCCCTGCTACGTACCCGTTGCACCCCTGGAAAGTTAGGCTTTTCCCCTTTTGAGTTAGTATATGGAAGGCCTCCCCCAAGTTTAGGAAGCATCCCAGGAGACCTACATCAAGTGGGGGACCGGAGTCTGACAGAACAACTCCATGCCCTGGGAACTGCCCTGTCAGAGCTGCAGCAGTACACAGCTGAAAGGGCCCCCATCCCCCTAGGGACGCCGGTCCATCCATTCCAGGCTGGAGACCTAGTCTGGGTCAAGGACTGGAAAAAGGAGCCCCTCAGGCCATGTTGGACAGGACCCCACACTATAGTTTTAACTACCCCCACTGTTCTTAAAGTTACAGGTATCACCCCAGGGGTCCATAATTCCAGAGTCAAGAAAGCCCACGACATTCCTGAGGAGGAGCGCTCAGAAGGTTGGAGAGCCAGCCCGGACCCAGGTGACCCTCAAGATCCGGCTGAGGTAGACAGCTACCTGATGAGCACAGAAGACGTCTGGTTCCTAGTTGCAGCCGTGTTCATCACCCTGATCCTTGGACATGGACTTGCTGCGACAGCCCTTCCCGACTGGACTTTAAAATTCAGTCTCCTGCCTAACCACAGCCAAGGTCCTAGCTTTGCGAGGGTATCGGCCGCCAGATGACTTCAATGATGCCCTCGGAGGCTCGCCGCCTCTGGGGCATCCAAGGGGGGAATGATAAGGGAAAACTCCGTCTAAAATGGTCCACAGTTCCCCCCGGGGCTTCCCCTTCTTGCATCCTGCCACTTTCCCACACTCCAAACTAGACAGGTTAGCCCACCCTGCTACCACAACATAGGCTGACGCATGGACAGTATACAACTCCTTGCCCGACTGGGCTCGGGGCTCAGACTTTGGACTTGGACTCCTCTGGGCCTGCCGGCGTAAAATAAATCTCCTGAACCCGGAGCCTCCGAGTGCCGCTTGGTCTTTCTGTAAGGTGAGTGTCTCCCGTTCTGCAACAACTGTAATGCCCATTTAATCGAAAAGCTGTGTGTACATTAAAAGGTTTTACAATTTAAAGTCTTACTGTATATTTGGTTTCACTGAATCAGAGTCACTAATTTGGTTGAATTAATTTTAAATGTTTAGATTATGCCAAGCAATTTAGGAAATTCTGAAAACTGATTTATTTTTGATACGTGAATTGAAATTTCTAAACTTTGGCCAACAGGTGCCTACTTTTATTAAAAGACTCTAGGTCTCATTTATTTTTCCTCTGTTTAAATGTTTGTGAGCAAGTAAGGAAAATACAGCTGAAACAAATATACATTAACTAGGAACTAAAATGGACACAACTGAATAGGTACAATATCTAGTGTAATTGAAGAATTTTTAGAGTAGTCTGGCTTTACATACTAATTAAAGAAAAGTATTTTGAATTTTAAAACACAATAGACTCTCCTTGTATAAACTGAATAAAAACCATCTCTGAAACAATTCAAGTTTTACCATACGTACAGATAACATTACAATACATTTTCTTTTATTGAGATAGTGGCAATGCCTTTGAGGGGTTTTTTTGGGCGGGGTAAAAGTTTTGGCTTCTGAATCAATAAACGCTATAAAATATTTCAATGAAACATCCGTTTGTGCTAAATGCCACATAAAAATTTAAATACCCTAGCTAACAGACTCAACTGAAATGACCACTGTAATCACGAGATTTTAAAAGTATACTCAAGATTTACTGTTTCAAGAAATCTAAAAACTCTAAATCAAAATATAAATGTGATTTTTTTAAGGGGGTGGGGTAGTTTATAAATGATTATAAAGTTTCCCTAGGAGAATAAACATACAACAAATATTAAAAAGAAGAGTAATGAAGAAAAATCTGTCCTATGTATTAAAAATTATAAAACCATCTCATTGTACCAAATGGTTCAGAAGTGGTCTAAGTATATAATGAAATTTAGTATATAAGAGGCATTTAAAACCAGTGAAAGAAAGAAATGGGGCACCTAGCCAACTATTTGTAAACAAGTTATCTCATTTTATAAAGAAATAAATTCCAAAAGGGTTAGAATTTTTATTTGACAAATATAAGTAAAAAATTATATACAAATAGTTTGGTAATCTTAGGGTGGGGAAAGCCAGAAATCATAAACCAAACAAATAGTGTAGTTGGCTATCTAAAAATATATGTTTAAATCTATAGGAGTTAAAAAAAAGAGCCATAAACAAGTTTAACTGAGTATGACAAAATGCAGGGAAATGCTTGCAAATTACAACAAAGTCAATATTCCTAATATACAAAAATCCTCAAATATAAAAAAAAGAGTAAATTTTAAAAGTAAGCATGGAAAATGCAGAATTCAAAAGAGAAACGAAAAGTCTAATAAACATCTGAAAAGATGTTGAACATCCCAAAATTTGAAATTAAAATGACACAAAATTTTTCCCATCATGTTGGCAAAGATCAGAAAGATTGATGTTACCCATTACTGGTAAGATTTGGGGGAGATGCATATTTCCTGTGTTATTAAAAACAATAGTGCCACTTATGGCGCATTATGAAGCATTTCTACCCAGCTGTGTGGAATGGGAATAAATTGATATAACTAATATCAAAGTATATATGAAAATTTGAAGTACACATATCTCTGACCCAGGATTTCTACAACTGAAAATTTATCCTGGGAAATAATCATAAATTTTCATAAAGATGTAAGTACAAGAATATTCATGTCAGTATTATTCAGAAAAGATAAAAAATGAAAACCACTGAAGGCCCAATGGAAAAGTGATGATGGCACAGACACAGGCAGCTGTGTGGTGATTGCCAGAGGGAAAGGGAGTAGGGGGAGGTAGAGGAAGGTAAAGGGGGTATAAATGGTGATGGAAGGAGACCTGACTTGGGGTGGTGAACACACAATACAATATACAGATGATGTGTTATAGAATTGAACATCTAAAACCTGTATACTTTTATTAATGCCACCCCAATGAATTCAATTAAAAAAATTAATGATGGTACATCTGGAATATTCCACAATTACGAATTATAATACAGATGATCAAGTGACAAAAGTAGGTCATAAAATAGCATGTATATTATTATCCCATTTATAGAAAATACTGACATTTTGCATAAGGAAGTTAGGAGTATACATAAACAAGATGTATTTAACCCTGGATGATAGGATTTCAGTTGCTTTTTACTTTCCTCTAGACTAAATAATAGCCTTTATATTTTTCTGTATTAATGTGAAATTTTAAATGAGCACATATTACCTTTATAACCTAAAAAAACCTGTAATTTTCTTTTCAGAAAAAATTCTGAAATTCTCTTAAATTTAAGATTAGTAAGAAAGGCACAGGATGACTAATCATCAGCCAATGCAGTAAAGTAAATGAGAACACACAGGAGTCTTGTTCTGCAATAACTAGAAATTATAATACAAATAATAGAAATTTCAAGGTTATCTTATACTTTGCCCTCTCCCTGAACTCCGTATCTAATTAGTCACTGAGGGGGTTTTTTGTTTTTTTTTTTAAATTTAACATCCAAAATGTTTTTACAGTCTTACCCTGTTGTCCATTCCCATTGTTTCAGGGGATCTCATCTTTTTCTCCGTCTTGATTCCCAGTCTCAGTTTAAGGACGTCAGTGTTCCAACTGGACTGCTTGCTTCCAGTTTTCTCTCTCACCAGTTTAGCCATCTTTCTAAAACATAATCTGATCATGTTGCTTCCTTACTTAAAACCATATGATACTACAAATCTTTAATACCGTAAAATGTCCTGTATGATTTGGGGGCTATCTTTCCTACCAAACCCACATGCTTCCGTTTCACATATATCCTACAAGCTAACTGCAGTAAATTAGACAGCCCTAATGTGCTGGCTGGGCTGTTTCAAACCTCTGTGACTTTACAGGTGTTCCTACCTCCAGAAATTCTGAGGTATCTTTGTCTGGAGCCTCTCCTTTCCTCACCAGGGGGAAATGTTGCTCCTTTCTTTATGTTGTATCTTATTGTTTTTGTGTTCCCAATAAATACAAGAATGCCAAGCACATATTAGGTGTTCTACACATTTTCACTGAATATCTGTCCTTTCCTATGAACTCTGAGTTCCTCTGATTTGGTCATGTTTAGAACTCTTGGCATACTGCCTGAGACAAAGCAGGAAATCAAAAATATTTAATGAATAAATTAATAAACAAATAAAGCTTCACTGAATGTAATAACACATGTAGCCTTGACCAATTACTTAGAATATGCATCCATACTGCTTTCAATTGTGGTGAAGTATTGAATTAACACCTTAGCATCAAATTTTCTCAAAACACAAGTTTCCTTTTGTTAGGATAACATTGTATCCTACTTAGTGTAGTTGCAAAATGCCTTTCACATAAAGACAATGTCTATTTGACTGTTTAAAAGAGCTGTTAACAAATATTTTCCCTAGTTCTTTAATACTATTTATCTGAAACAATCCCAAAGTTTTGTTGCTTCAATTAATTTAAGATATACTAATATACTACACATATTTTAATAAACTTTTAATATACAATACTTTATATACTATGTATGTCTTATAGACTAAGTAATGTGTTGTAGGTAAAAAATTCATTCACTCAATAAATACTTACTAAATACCTATTATGTGCTACACATTGTGCTTGGGGCTGGGAAATACAGTAAACAGAGAAGTATAGCAAATAGAGCAAAGGATAATACAGACAAGCTCCCTGCACAAGAGCAATACTTTAAAATAGAAATGTTAGATTATGTTCACTATAATTTGAAAATTGAGGTTTTCACAGTCAAAAAGCCATTTTTAGCAAAATGCATAGGATACTGGTTTAAAAAGTACAGGCTCCAGGGCATTCCAAGATGGCTGAGGATTAAGTGGAAGCTACATTCACCTTGTCCCAGGACCAAACTGGAATTAAAACTAAAATAAAGAAAAACCACCCAGAATAATCAACTGAAGACAAGCTGGAGAGCACCCTCATAACCAAGGAGGAAAAGGGGAGACCACATAGAGACTGGTAGGAAGTGCGGAGGTGCGAGAGGGATGGCTGGGCTACCACAGGCAGCAGCTGTATGTCAGGAGGGATATCTCAGTTGTAGGGGGTTCCCACTGAGAACTCTGGGGCCTAAACCCCAAGCCAGGCTCCCCAACCAAGAGCACCAGAACTGAGAAAGGTGCCCACGTAACATCTGGCTGTGAAAAACAGCAGGGTGCCAAGGAGACGTGGCTGGAAATGCAGGCACCCTCTTAAAGGGACAATGCACAAAGTTTCATGTACAGGCTCTCACATTGGGCTCCATGGAAGGGAGGGGAGAGTGGAGTAGAGCTTTCTGAGGAGAATCCAGGGGAACTGATTATAGGGACAGAGCTCAAAGGGCGGCCATCTGGATTCCTGTGCTGAGTCGTCCCCCAAAGGACAGAGGACATCTTTCTCAGGCAGACATTTACCATCCAGGCAGCTTTTGCCTGGAGGGGAAGCAAATTTAACACCCTGTTGGAAAACCTCTTGCCCCACCCTGTGGATTTACACTATGTTGTGGTCTACAGCCTGAGGCTCATTAAGAGACTCAGAATAACAATCAACCAGCAAGCAAAGATGGATCATTAGGTGCTTTGAGTCTTTGCCTGATCCGCTTCTGGACCAGGGGCTTAAAAAAGCAGAACTTGGGCATCTTGGTCCTTCCCAAAAGCACTGAGCCCCAGTAGAGGGAGCCACAAGCAGTGGATTGCTGACAGCTCCAAACAGGGTACCCAAGGCCAGTCACAAATAGTGTCTGACATTGGCCGGCACCAGAAACAATCCAAAAAGGCTGGGGTCCTAGAAGATCTACCTAACAGAAACAAATCCAAGCAGGCAGACAAAATAGGAACACAAAAAAACAAGCCCCAAAAGAAAGAACAAAACAATTCTCCAGAAGAAGGGATAAAGGAAATAGATATAAGCAATCTATCAGATACAGAGTTCAGAATACTGATTGTAAGGATGCTCAACATGAGAAAAGATAAGGAAACTATGAAGGAAATTAAAAATGACATAGCAGAAACAAAGAATACATTAAAAGGAATAAACAGCAGATTAGTGGAAACTGAGGGTCAGATCAGTGAATTAGAAAACAGGGTAGAAAAAAATCACTCAATCAGAGATCCAAAAAGGAAAAATAACTAAAAAACAGGAGGACAGTTTAAGGGAGCTGTGGGACAATATAAAACGCAACAGTACTCAAATCATGGGAATATCAGAAGGTGAAGAAAGTGAGCAAGGGATAAAGAACCTGTTTGAAGAAATAATAGCAGCAAAATTCCCTACCCTGGTGAAGGGAAAAGTCACAAAAGGTCAGGAGGCACAGAGAGTCCCAAGCAAAAAGAACCCAAAGAGGCCCATGCCCAGACACATCATAATTAAAATGTCAAAAATTAAAAACAGAGAATCTTAAGCGCAGCAAGAGAAAATCAATTTGTTACCTACAAAGGAGCTCCCATAAGGCTATCAGCTGATTTCTCAACAGAAACTCTACAGGCCAGAAGGGAATGGCATGAAGTATTCAAAGTAATGAAAAGCAAGAATCTGAAACTAAGACTACTGTATCCAGCAAGGGTATCCTTCAAAACAGATAGTGAAATAAAAAGCTTCCCAGACAAAAAAAGGCTAAAGGAGTTTATCATCACCAAACCAGCATTGCAAGAAATGTTAAAGGATTTAGAAGTAGAAACATAGAAATATGGGCATAAATAATTAAAATGACAATAAATAAGTAACTATCAATAACAACCTTAAATGTAAATGGAATAAATGCTCCAATCAAAAGACATAGTGTAGCTGAATGGAAAAGAAAACATGACCCAAATATATGTGGTCTACAAGAGACCCACCTCAGAACAAAAGACTCACACAAGTTGAGAGTGAAGGAATGGAAAGAAAATTTCCATGGAGATGGAAATGAAAAAAAAAGCTGTGGTAGCAATACTCATATCTGACAAAATAGACTTCAAAATGAAGACCATGAGACAATAAAGGCCACTACATAATACTAATGGGATCCTTCCAACAAGAGGTTATGACCTGGTAAGCCTGTATGCACTCAATACAGGAGCGCCTAAATTTATTTTTTAAAAACTTCTGGAAGACTTTAAGGGAGAGATTGAGAGCAATACAGTCATAGTCATGGACTTGAACACCCCACTGACTTCACTGAATAGGTCTTTCAGACAAAAAATCAACAAGGAAACAATGACCCTAAATGACACACTAGAGCAGATGGATTTAACTGACATTTACAGAACTTCCACCGCAAGGCAGCAGAATACACATTCTTCTCAAGTATACATTGGACCTTCTTAAAGACAGACAACATGTTAGGAAACAAAACAAATCTCTACAAGTTCAAGAATATTAAAATCATATCAAGCATCTTATTCGATCACAATGGCATGAAACTAGAACTCAATTACCAAAAAAACCCCTCAAAAACATTCAAACACATGGAGGCTAAACAACATCCTACTGTTCGGCTGGTCGTGGCTCAGCGGCTGAGGGTCGACCCAGGATCCAGGAAATTGGGGTTCAATTCCCAGTCAGGGCGCATGCCCAGGTTGTGGGCTCCATCCCCAGTCGGGGGCGTGCAGGAGGCAGCCGATTGGTGACTCTCTCATCACTGATGTTTCTATCTCTCTATCCCTCTCCTTTCCTCTCTCTGAAATCAATAAAGATATATTAAAAACAAAACAAAAAACAAACAAACATGCTACTAAACAATGAATGGGTTACCAATGAGATCAAGGAAGAAATCAAAAACTTCCTGGAAACAAAAGTGAAAATGAACACACAACAAGACAAAATCTATGGGACACAGTGAAAGCAGTCCTGAGAAGGACTACAGGCCTATCTCAAGAAATAAGAACTTTTAATTAACTATCTAACCCTACCTCTTATTAGAAAGAGAACAGCAAGAAAAGCCCAGAGTACACTGAAGGAAGGAAGTAATAAAGATCAGAGCAGAAATAAATGACGAAGAGACTAAAAAAAATAAAATAAAATACAAAAGATCAATGAAACAAAGAGCTGGTTCTTGGAAAAGATAAACAAGATTGATCAACCTTTAACCAGGCTCATGAGAAAAAAAGAGAAAGGACCCAAATAAATAAAATCAGGAAAGAAAGAGATGAAGTAAGAACAGACACCATAAACACAAAGGATTGTAAGAAAATACTATGAACAACTATACACCACCAAGCTGGACAATGTGGATAAAATGGACAAATTACTAGGAAAATTCAATCTTCCAAAACTGAATCAGGAAGAATAAGAAAACCTGAATGGGCCAATAATAGCTGATGAAATTGAAACAGTAACCAAAAAAGTCCCAGCAAACAAAATCCCTGGCCCGGACAGCTTCAGAGGAGAGTTTTACAAAGCACTGAAAGAAGAACTAACACCTGTCCTCCTCAAACTCTTCCAAAAAATCCAAGAGGAAGAAACAATTCCAAGCTCTTTTTATGGGGCCAGCATTATCCTAATTCCTAAACCAGATAAAGACACTACAATGAAAGAGACAGGCCCGTATCCCTGATGAACATGGACGCTAAAATCCTCAATAAAATATTAGGTAATCCAGCAATATATTAAAAAGGTAATATACATGACCAAGTTGGATTTACTCCAGAGATGCAAGGCTGGTACAATATTTGCAAATCAATAAACATGATACATCACATAAACAAAATGAAAGACAAAAATCACATGATCATATCAATAGACACAGAAGCAGCTTTCGACAAAATCCAACACTCATTTTTGCTAAAAACTCTCAGCAAAGTGGGAATAGAGGGATCATACCTCAACATAATAAAGGCCATATATGACAAACTTACAGTCAACATCAGACTTAATGGGCAAAAACTAAAACCATTTCCCCTAAGAACAGGTACAACACAGGGGTGTCCACTTTCACCACTCTTATCCAACACAGTACTGGAAGTCCTTGCCACAGTGATCAGACAAGAAAAAAACATAAGAGGCATCCAAATTGGAAATGAGGAAACAAAACTGTCATTATTTGCGGATGACATGATATTGTACATAGGAAACCCTAAAGACTCCACCAAAAAACTACTAGATTTAATAAATGAATTTGGCAAGGTAGGAGGTTACAAAACTAACAACCAGAAATTAATGGCAC